TTGTATAGGATCTATCGATGGCAAGCATATCCGTATTAGAAAACCACCAAAAAGTGGGTCTAACTATTTTAATTATAAGAAGTTCTTCTCAATTGTTCTGTTAGCCGTAGCAGATGCAAACTGTTCTTTTATAGCTATTGATGTAGGTGCTTGCGGACGAAATGCTGACAGTAATATATTTAAAGAAAGTGGTTTTGGCAAAAAATTGGCGTGTGGGTCTCTGAAGATTCCTAACTCAACTAAATTGCCTAATTCAAATGGATTGCCCCAACCTTTAGTGTTTCTTGGAGATGAGGCATTTGGATTACAAAAGCATATCTTGAGGCCTTTTCCTAATAAAAGTTTAAATAAGGAAGAGCGAATTTACAATTATCGTCATAGTCGAGCTAGGAGATGCGTGGAATGTGCATTCGGCATCCTAACAAGCAAATGGAGAGTTCTGCATACACCGATCGCTACTAATGTGAATACAACCATCGCTATCGTAAAAGCCGTTTGTATTTTACATAATTTTGTCATAGCAAGAGAACAAGCACAATATGCACATATTTCGCGACGTACCTCAACAACTCTTACAAGTTCAAGGAGCCAAATTATTACTGTATCAAATTCTGGAAAAACAACAAGAGAAAACTTTAAAAACTATTTTCTTAACGAAGGAAAGCTATCCTGGCAAGAGAAATATTTGTAAGTTGTAGCTACAGGAAGAAATAGTGTAACGGAGTGTGTAAAGCCGTAAATACTATGTAAATTATGATACTTTGTTTTATGTAGTGAGTGATACAAGTATATTGTTGAATAAATAATAAATTCATTAGAATGGAACTTACTTCTTTTTTGTTTAGTGTTTTCTTCTAAGTTTTGCCAATCATCGTATATAATTTCAGCGACTTCATTCCAATTGCTCTGCTTTAATACTCTGTTGCTGTATTCTTCACTCGACATGTTCCATATGCATGGTCTATTCTGTATTTCACTAATGAACCTTTCCGTATCAAAGGACATCTTGGATTTTCAGTGATGTGTGTGTGCGTTGAGATTAGTTAGGTGCGATGCAAAAAAACACGTCCTAACACGATGATAGCTTTTTTCCAACTATCCGAATAATCAGTTTGAGTCACTACGCCCGGCGAACAACCAATCGCCGCCGCCGACTGGAACCGGTTTTGGTGGGAGTCGGCCGCTCACTAAGATAGTCGGCGCGCGTAACGCTGCAAACTGCGTACAGTGAGCGCAAAACTAGCAAACTGTGAACACTCCATTTGAAATATATGGAAGGGCGTACTAAACCGATACGCCGCTAACTCAGTCGGCCGCTGACAGTTTGCTTACTGGGGACACAGCCTTAAACCCAAAACTTGTAAGTACTAACAAAAGTAAAAAATGCATAAACGGATGTTGTCGATAATAGAGGTAGAGGTACATCAATGGTTATTCTTTAAGCGAGGGCATGGTAAGATTACTAGAGACGAGAGAGCGGACGATTCTGAGAAGCTGGGTCCTGTGCAGCGCAACCAGCCAGTCAGCGGTAACATCACAGGACTATCGCTCTTAAAATCTCTGGAGAGGTGAAAAAAGTACAGGCCGCATACACTTTAGGTTAAGCAGTCTCATTCAAATTTTGTTGGTAGTCGATACCCGTATACTTTTAGCTTCTACACTCGTATTTCTGAGTTTTAACCGGACTTTGATTTATGCACTCTCTCATTTTCAGTGTTAAATCATTTTGAATGTTTAAGCATAATATTATTTTAATAAAATGTTTATTATAAAAGACACTTGTGGAAAACTGGAATTAAGGAACTTTATTAAGATAAGAATTATTTTGAAACACAGAAATAAATACTATTACGAACAATTTTAAGTTTTCCACGAATGTCCCATTCCCAGTACATTGAATTGAAAGTAGTATAAAACTTAGTGAAATGTAAGATAATACAATGGTTTTTTTTTTAAATAATACCTAGATTGTTCCGAAAATTGTTACATGGTAGCAAATTACCTTTTTTTCCTGAAACTAGTTTGAATCGACAGCTAATTTCAATACAAACGTCCTATTATTTATCTGTCGTCTCTTCTGTAGACGTTTCGGGGGAATTGATCGATTTAGATCCGATGAGCAAAAATAGGTATATTGGAAAGTTCGCAAAACTTATCCCAATACATATTTTCAAACAACGATTCTTGAATCACAGCAACGATCCTTTCACAAAGTAGCAATCCAGCCAATGGAATTTTGAAAAGAATTAAATTAATAGTGTTAATAAAATCCAAATAATGTGTTTCAGACACCCATGACCCATGTGTCTCAAACACATTATTTGGATGGACATGTAGCAGTTAATAAGTATAGAAGTTCGTTGAGCAGAAGTAGTTACTAAGTTAATGTACTGCGTATTGTGTAGTTCGTCCGCCTCTAGATTTTCTTTTAACCAAGATAAGGCGCAGCTCACACAGCTGTTAAGGCATCGTTTTTTTAACAATTTCAAGGGTAAAAATTTACTCCATCCTCATCATGTTTGGTTATTGAACAAAGAAGATTTAGTTCCAAGTGATTTCTTACTACACTGTAAAAAAATCTTTGTAAACGAAAATGTAACCTGGCAGACGACGCGCACTTTTTGTTCATAGGGGTTGAAGAATTCAATGTAATGTTTTTCACATAGATAAATGATTGGTCTCGCTTCACTCAACTAGATACCGCGCTGTCAAAAAACAACAGCTCCGAAAATGCGGCAACTCATTATTGTAATGTGTGTATGTCAATTTGCAATGATGCTATCAAATGTCATAAATCGTGTAGCCAGCTGCTCAACTGCTACCCAAGTAATAGGGACAATATTGTACGTTATAAATAATATGTACCAGGTTATAAATGTAGCTCATAAAATACTTGACGAAGATGCACTTTATTAAATGCGAATATATCAATATTTTAGTGTACTTATACGACTAGGCGTAGGTTTCTTCTTCAAAAAATGCTTAGGCCTCAATTTATTTTATTTACATGTAATATTTACTTGTACATTATAACAGTGATTCAAGTGTGATAAGTTGGTCACTATAAACGAGACATTATTGTAACTCGGTAAGGAAGCTGAGTGTGTAATGATCAATGCACACGAGCTGCATACGACGTTTTTCAATACAATTTCGACGAAAAAACAAACTTGTAGTTAGTAACTGTTATCAAGTTCAACTGAACTTTCTTTGTTGCCAAGTATTTTGACATTACGGAGCTACCTCAACAACTTTTCAAAATCGGTTGGTGACAATACTTTTGACTTTCGGCCAATATATCCATCAGAACGTCGCTTTAGAAATGTTGCCAAGTTACTATATGTTCAATAATCAAGTGGCAGCAACAGCCTATCACCAGCGTTTCGTGCCTCGTTAAGTATTTCCGGTACAGTTCAGTAGTGGCGGGGATGAATTAAAATTGCGCAAATTTTATTAATAAATGCGCTCTGAGGTTCAATAACGGCACAAGAATAATTTTTAATAAAAATAGAACCGATTTCAAAAATACTGAAAATGTAGAATAAGGTTTACCGTAAAGTCGATCGTTATTATTATCATGATCTCCCTGCTAAACATATACCTTGGTATAGACTTCAAGTATATCAGGCTATTTTTTTTAAGTCGGTTTTATTTTTTCTATAAATTATTTCATTTTCCTATTTTTAGTGTTACGCAGAATACGCTACTAGTTGGAAATTTTACAAGCTTTCACCGAGCTTTAATAGATCCACACGGGTAAAACCGTGAGACATTGCTAGTAAATTATATACTAGAAACTTCTCAGAAAAGGCGTATTTACGCATTAATATGCGTAAAAACCCCATCTAATTCGGATCCGTAGCTTTGAGATTATCATGGTCAAACATGCATACATACAGATCAAACTGAGAATATCCTTTTTTGAAGTCTGTTTAAAGACCGAATGTGCAGCCGGAACAACAGCAATATAAAAAAAATAATAAACTATAAGTATAAATAAATGTTTCTTAATACGTTAGTTAAGTTAATTTGTGTTTATAAATATAAAATGAATTGTTTATTTTAACCCTAAAATAATTTAAATAATATGATGAAATTAAAAAAAAATACACTGAATTGTGAAACTAAAAACTGTGTAAATAATAAGAGTCAGTTTACAAGCAAATGTGTTGAAAAAAATGTTATTAAAAATAATAACAGAATATCATAGGAATAAAAGGTAGATTACAAAGATAAACATTGTATAATATAAAACTAGGTTTAGTTTATTTGCAAGTTTAAATAACATAGGTTCAATAATAAAATACACTAACAATAAATTCACATTATAAATAAAAATCTCAACCATAGGGACTTGATTCTTGCATACGCGGCAACACCTGAATGACGTTTAGGGTTCATGTTATTTTATGTTGAAATTTCGAAATTTTACTATACTTATTGTTGTTATGTGATCCCAGCGTCCTTGTTATTTTTTGTTATATTATTTCACTACATGAACTGGCACTTTACCTTCGATTAACACCAAATTTTAATAAAACATTCACTACGTACACCCCATACACAACTTTCAGGTTGACTGGCTCGGTGAAAGCTCGGGTATGCCGATTTGGGCATAGTATTTGTTGCCGCATTAGACAAGTACGCCGGCGCTATCTAGCCGAGTGAAGCGAGACCCATCATTCATCTATGGTTTTTCATATAAAATTTTCATTACACTATTTTTGGAAGAACATATTTACATAAAAAAGATAGTAAGATATGATAATAATCGGTGAAGCTCCTATCAATCAATGTCTAAAATATCTTATGGCGTCAATTCTCATTGATAAAGGCGAGTTCTTGAATCTTTAAAGCAAATAACGATTTCAATTAATGCAAACCAAACTTAAATAAAACAGACGCTTAACTTTCACATTCGTAAATGACATTAGCTGCACCTGTCAGCGAGTGTCTCGGAGGCGTAGTTGTTGCGTGCGTGGTTCATAGAAAGCGAGATGTTAGGCTTTAGAGAGGTTGATGGAGCAAAATGGTCGGCGTTGGCAGGTCGCCTGAGCCAGCGCCATGCCGAAATAAACCGCATGCGTACCGTGTTCAATGGGATGAGGGGAGCGGGCGAGGAGAAGTGGGGGCTGCCGCCGCGGCGCTTGCGCCAAAATTAGGCGTAAACACAACGGACACGAGGCGCCGCCGCCGACCGACTCTGGCCTATACAACTTATGCCAAACTAAGATTTCAGGACCTCACGCTCATAAATCACCGATATATGTGAACACGTTTACGGGCGAAGAATAAATGGGAAAATAAATTAGGTGCTTTTTAAAATAAACTGACGCGAAATCTACAGTTCAAGCTGTGCTCACAACTCAAAATCGATTCATTTATGAAACTGGAGGAGACAAGCACATTATGCATGATTGACATATAAAAACAATGTAACCTACGATATCTCCTCACAACCGCAGAGAACCTTGAGTTCTCGGAAGAATCGATAGCGCACTTTTTCTATGAACTTTCTGTATAAAGTGAACTTCAAAAACCAACACATTACTTAAAATTGAGAATCAAAACAACAAAAATCTGAAAACAATCCATTTGGGTTAGGTTGAGTTGAATTGACCACGACTTTTTTTGTTCAGTTCTCAAGAAACATCTTTGAGGAGTTATTGCCCTGAAAATTACGATCAAAATAAATAACAATAATCCGAAAACAATCAATTTTGTCTAGAAGGAGTGGAGTTGTCGCGCCAACCAACACTTTTTCAATCTAAAAATGAATAAATAAATCCTAAAGTTTGTGAATATTGTCCTGCACTGCAATGCGCCAAGTTGTACCTATTTGTAATAAGTCGACCTTGCAATATATCATCTATACTAATATTATAAAAAGGAAAAGTTTGTATGTAAGTATGTTTGTAACGAATTGGCTCTTAAGGTACTGAACCGATTATAAAAATTCTTTTACCATTTGAATGCTACATTATCACTGATTAATATAGACTATAGTGTATTTTGAGTAAAGCTAGGGTTCCGTGTGAAAACTTCGATAATGTAACCCAACGTGTGTAAAAAATACCAAAATATAGCCTTATATCGCGTACGCTGCGAAAGTCATTGACAATAGAGCAAAGTGATGTACTAAAGTTTTATAGAGGACTAGCTGACCCAGCGAACTTCGTACCGCCCTAAAAAAATAGGGGTTGTCCAGCGGACAAAATTGTGAATCTAAACCATTCTCAGATCCCCTTGAACACACACAAAAAATTTCATCAAAATCGGTCCAGTCGTTTAAGAGAAGTTCAGTGACATACACACTCACAGAAGAATTATATATATAAAGATACCACTATTTACAAAAAAGTCCGCGATACCATATGTCTAACTATTACAGTTATGTCACAACTAGAGGTCCTCTGCGGTTTAACCCGCGTGTACTCTTAACGGCTTCTTTAAGTCGAAACGGTCCCTCTCGGTTAATTGTAATAGCGACGACTGCATCCCCGTCCCTTAGTAGGCCAATGGACAGCAGCAGCCCCTCTGGTTGCTGTTATGCCGCCCATGTTGCGAGCGGCCTTCTGCATCTCACCAAACTGATACGGGCATGTTAAAGTAGGGAGCCGCTCTTCAAAGAAGTGCATATGCACATACTAGTTTTTAACTAGGCAGCGCTCAATCGTCTCCTTCTCAGAGAACGATCGCATCCGATGAAGCCTTGAAGGCCTGACCGGCTAGAGGCAGCCCCTACGGGTGTTATAGTCAGTAACAGTCTGGCATAACTCTGCAGCCGACTGTAGGGTATCCATGAGGATTTTTCACACACCTCACCCGCAAGGGAGGAACCAATATAAAGAAAAAACGACACTAACAAATGATTAAATATTCTAACACTTTCACTAATTAGCTTAGCCCCAAAGTAAGCACTGTAAGAATACTGGGGTAACGGATAGAGCACACAATAACACCTATTAAGTAGTATATTTATCTAGAAATACATACAAACATCCATGACTTAGGTACAAATGCTCGTATTCATCATACTAGCAAAAAGCTGTAGAATAAAATTGAACAACAGACTACACGACGGTTAGTCACAAGTAAACCATCAGTATTCAAAGAAGGCACAACTGCACATACGAGCAGTCGTGCAAGCGTACCGAGCTCACCCGTGCAACGTCACCGTGCCTTGCTGTGACATCGCATGAGTAATAGGATCCACAACAAACGGTTCACAATGGTAAATTGAAGATATTACACTGAAGAGCCCATCTAACCGGCCGGGCCCTTCGCTTCGTCTAGCCGATCAATTTTCTCATTTATATGTAATAATGTAGGCAGACTGTGTTATTCATTCCGAACAGATCAATGAATTTATTCGTCTTTACTTTCGTAGTTACACAAATTATATACCTACACATATTATTTACAACAAATATTTTACGAAAACCTGCAATTATATTGCTTTACAAAATATCGGAATACGTCATCAACTTGTATTATATTAAAAAAGCCAATCAAAGAAGAATGAATTTAAGCGACAATTTTTTATTTCTTTTCTAACTCATTTATTATTGTAGAATATAGAAGTTCCTTGAGGTTTCAAATTTCGATAATGACTTTTATGACTCATTCTTTTTATTACGAATGTAACCAATTTTTTCCTGATTCTACAACTACAGCTGATATAGAAAGATTAAAATCTCTTGAGAAATTAAAATAATAAATTAAAATTTAATAAGAATAATTATGTTTTAGATGTAAGTAAGCAAATCTATTTTCGATTTTTTTGACGATTACTATGAACAGTAATGCTTCCGTTTCCGCATTTCTTACGTTAATAGAACTATGTATTTGAACTATAGTCTGAATTGCCTCTGTCTAGTTTTTATCTACTTAAAATTAGTAAATGATCACTAAAATTTATCCGGAATGTGAACTAAAAAAGTAAACTCCAAAAAAATTGAGGCAAATCATTATACTACGATTAAGATATGTCTTTCCTCTTCCCACCATTAGCAAAGCTGATAATGATGTTCAATATCTTTTTTGTTTTTTGCTCTTGTAATCGTAGAACTACAAACATAACAATAGATAAAATATACGCGGGACACATAAGCTGATGACGTTGGCCCTAAGGCGCTTGTCAATGTACACAGTTGACCCCGTTTGATCCCACAATTAAGCATGGCGATACTCACAGACTGTATTACCCATGCACGATCTGAGCATTCGAGCTTACACTTCGGAGGTACAATTTTTTTCTAGAATCGAAACGACCGAATCAAATTATCACGACGAAAATCCTCTGTACTGCTGTGCAGAAAGAATATAAAGATAGCTAAGACAAAGTCTAAATTTAAAGAACATGAAAAGAAAAATACTTAATTAAAGGCCTTAAAAATAAAACAGCTTGGTAAATAAGTGGCTGACGCCGTGGGCTACCGGTGTGGTCTACTCGGCCTGAATGCTCCGTCTCACTCTATTATCGCAACAGCAGCTTTGTTGATCATGGCAAGTATTATTGGAGCACATTAATACCGATGACACAAGCTGATGAGTGCCATCTGTGTCCACAAGACTTGATAATGCACTACGAACAAAGATCTACCCTTGAAGGCTCCAACGCCGAACCGAACAATTCAGTCTATATATTCTATACCCATAGAAATACCACATGTAAGTTAAATACAGTGAATTAGATGCATTTGTTACAATCATTCAAAAGAATTTAGAATATTTCAAGTGTTCTCGGGACTGAGAAGCTAAGTGCCTATTTAATTCGAGTTGTATGTTTAATTTCACTTTGAGAAACTGCTATTAATAGTGTTCCCATCAATATTTTATTTATAGCAAGATAAACGTTTTATAAAAGACTCCGTACAACAAAACATTTAAAGGTCTTCAGAGGCGTGAGTTAGTTTCGTAATTTCAATGGCATTTAACAAAAGGCTGAGTTCATACGCACGCAACCCATCAAAATGTCATGTGATTTTGGCAGCTTGAAGTGTTTGCAACTTTAATTATTTATTATTCAACTAAAACATTGTTCCCTTTTGAAAAATTTCGGTGTTAGATCGATTTCTAAGAACACCTACAACGCTAAGTTTCTGATCAGCGCCGATTAAGACGTTGTCTAAGAGCCAACATCCAGTAATCAGAGCGTGGAAACTGAGTGAGTACCTTGTTGCTACAGCTGCTCTGATATTATCATTCTTCAATGCATCGTCTTAGGGTTCATATTAGTGAGCGACTATTCGTTGCGGCGAACGCTTAGCTCTATCGAACACACAAGGATGTACATAGATGTCATATGACGATTGAAAGGTAGTATAAGTAATGTAATATTGATAACACCAACTTCAAGTTATACTTTGCACGCAATAAAATTAGCAAAAATATCTTTACTCACGTTAACTGGTATAGGTACTGTGTCATTTAATGAGCTTATTTATTTTGTTCGCAGTTTTTTATGATACATTTTACTATCATGTTTTTCTTTTAGCTCCTCAATTTTAATAGAATATTCCGTAAAATTGTAATTAAATATTGACCATATATGGCAGATATTAGTATCGGCACAATTTTGTAATCCACTTGTTACAAAATAGTTTTTGCTGTGTGCTTAAACGCTATTTTAAAGTCAGCAGGAGAAAGTATATTAACGGCACATTATTACTTTGTTCTAAAACGAAAATTGTATTCTCAAGAGAGTGCCGTTAGGTAGAGCTACCTGTCGCGCACGGCGCGGCTCGCGGCGACCCACCGTCACTGACTTCTCGGAAGGTGATAGCAGCACGTTTGTTCTTGTATGTATGTTATCGCAGACCCCATGATAAGTACTCGTTTTGATAACTTCAACCATTTCTTTCTTAGAATTTACTGAGCTGTTAATTAAATTAATCCTTATACCAAAGCTCTTCTTTAAATTCAAAACTATCGATAAACTGGATTATCGGTACTATATCGTACAGTGGTACATTGTCATTTTATCATGTGTGTTCAATGAGATTATTGGGAGTTTGAGACATCTCCTATTTGATTTCATCTTTGATAAAACTACTCATAATCAGCTCCCAATGAACAGTATGTTCTATAGATAATTTCAATACTGTGAAAGTATTATTATAGTGATGACGTGTCCCATGCATAACCACACTGGCTAAGACTACTTTTATCGGGTGTCAGATACCAGTCAAGGTATACCGTAACTTTAAACGAACGGCCTTGCCAAAGCCGACCGAGAGGCTATTCCTTTCGCCATCCGCCACGCACACGGTAATATTTCGAATAACACATTTAGCTCGTATTATGATAGACGCAAAGGTCACATTCAAACAAAGAGGTTCGACGTGTTTATTTATTAGGCAAGTAAACTAGCCTACCGGCACAATTATTAATTGAACGAGTTGACGTAATTTATTAAAAAGATAAACCGTTTTTAGGGTTCCTATCCGTATTCAAAGAGTAAAAACGCCTAAAACAAGTTTTCCTTTTTTACCTCATCATGTGACACATCGGGTCTCGAGTTCATTGGGTATACGGTTAGTAAGTATTTCTTATACAGCTCTGTATAATAGTATCTATGTATATTATATAAAGAATCAAACAGAAACACGATGGAGAACGTAGTTTAGATAAAGAAATTTAATCAGATTAAATCATTCTTAATAATAGCAGCAAAATTTACTATTTACACTAGCTTCCACCCGCGACTTCGAACGCGTTATAGTTAATTTTTTTATAATCCCACAGAAACCTAAGGTTTTATTTTATTAAAAATGATCCTACGTCTCAATCCAGGTAATAAATGTACAGCCGTTTTCGTGTGATTGACAAACAAACAACACACTTTCACATTTATGGTAATACATAATAATAAAATTAATTTAAGTAGGAAAGCAGAATTTCAATTCCATTGTAAAAAATCTTAGGTCTTCAGAATTGAAGTTATTTATCCCTAATTCTAAAATATAACTTTAACTATGTGATGCCACGTGGAATTAACACCTAAGCGGAATTTCCTAATTGGGTTCTTGCGCTCGATTTGTAATCGTAATTCGTATCAATAATAATTATCGCATGTGCACCGTTTACTTGATCTTTTACTAAATCAAGTAACAGTATCTAATAACTCGAACTCTCATAAAATGTCTGATGAATAATTTGTTAAACAGATTATCACAAGTCTCAATCTACGGAAATTACAATCTAAAACGTACTATTGAATCCCATTTTTGTGGTCAACACGAGCATTTATATTTTATACGGTTAATGGATAAAGACGTGTTCTCTACCTTTTTATATTAAACTAAGTTCAACGACCCGAAGCTATCTTTTCGTATGGGACTTTTACCTTTGTATGCAACGCAAGAGGTTTCTCTGATTAAGGATTCAAAGAACGACACTTAAAAGGAAATATTGTTCGAAACTCGAGTTCGCCCATCGTACGAGTACGAACAGCAGACATACTCGACTCAAACGGCTTGTTTTTAGTCCGTACCTAATACAGATTGTTTACCATTTAAAAGCTAAATAGTCTGTATATTAATTCAGCATAGTTTTTACGATTTTGCGACATTTAATGCCTTTGTTTTACATCTAGTGTGGTGCGGTGCGGTGCGTAGGTACCTTTGATTTTTGTTTTTATTATTCATTTGTTCTTTTTTGTAAACGGGCGCCGTTTAGTAACAATTCATTTATAACATACATAAACATTACAGCCTTTATCTCGAAATTCAGTTCAATTAATATTATTATCTCTTTTAGAACATTTTCGACAATATCTTCAATTTATGAATATTTTCAGAAATAATTCATTGTTATAAGCAAATGCTAGTGGTACAATTATGCTCCACTTTTACCAGCCTAAAGTTTATACATAATATGAGAACTTATATCAACTGAGACAAAGACAAAACATTATGTAAATTCTCCAGCAGCAGACCCACAAAAATTTATAAAGTCTAACTCAAGCTTTAGTAACCGAAGATCTGCGGCAATCTGAGACTATATAAAGACGTCACGGATAACGGAATCTTATTACAATTTTATCACTCTTTGAGGTCTGAACATCCTTAAAATTCTGTTTAAAATCCTTATTATTTATTATACGGAATTTATATTCTAGCGAATTATAGCGATCGGGCGACAACATATCTAAAGCAGTTTTAACGACAGTACAACAAACGGTACAATTTTAGATATTTTACGTACAGATTATAGAGCCAATAGTGCGCGAGTTCGTCTTATGCCTAGCCGGTTTTTTTTAATAGCAGCTTAGACTCGTACCCTAACCAAGCTTGAGATTGGGAGTCATGAATAAAAACATTTAGCTGTCATGCACCTTTGATGACTGCCAATCATATACGTGAAGCTACCGTATGTTATAACGTTTCAGTACCAGATGAGTAGACATATTGAATCTTCGTTATGCTACTGCTAAAGACGTTCAGGTAAAGGTAGATCAGGTCAAGAATCATTCGAAGGTGTGCTTCAGCGAAGCTACCGGTCCTGATAGCGCCGCGTTGGGCGTCCGCCAAGGCAATTTGCATCGCTACCCGTTTCGGAACATCGCCAAGTCTAGCCGAACAAAACCACAGAGAATTACCCTCCATTCCAATAATAATTAAAGCAAACATTTCGCAGTCGAGACGCGCGCCGACGGACGTTATGGAGCTTATAAAGCATCAGCCACAACTCGCAATTAAGAAACGACGCGCTTCTATTTAGGAACACACGGAAGAGCCGCACAGTTTGCAATGGCCCATGCCTTCTCCTGGGGCCGAAGCTGGAGCCAAGCGGCAGACCGACTATATTAATACCTTTGATATTCGAAATATCAATATTTTAAAGGAGCTTATGAACTGCTGCGCTCGCTGTTGCATCCGCGTTGGCAATTCTGGCGACTGCTAATGAACCGAAGATCTAAACAAAATATTCGGCTTTTATAATACATCAGTATCTACATACTATCATTATAATAATATAAATGCAAATCGAATGTGCGATCGATGACAATGTAATCAAAATATATATTAATAAAATTTTGTAGAAGTTGATGAGAATGTAATGAATAATGACTAACAATGTTAATTTGTAGTTGACAGATAAGTGCTCACGCACAATATCCAGAGCAAATTTTCATTTTTAGGCGTGTACTACATCGTTTATTTACGAGGTGACAAAACCTTTGATGTCGCGTTGGCTATCGTCCACACACGGTGAGAGAACATCGACCAACGACTCGATTAAACTAGTAGATACTGTCTTCAAATCAAAACACCTATGTTGTAAATTATTGAGTCCATTCCTTTTCGTAATAATCATATTTACCTTATCATTTCTATCTACGGTTCAATAAATATAACAGAAATTTACTACCATCTTTACCCAAAGCCATTTTTAGATCTTCCCATGAATAATAGTTTCAATATCGATTTTCTTAGCAATTTTTAAAGTACCGACGCAACTGCAAAATGTACAGTGACGACAATAATGGAAACGGCGCCGGCGCCAGACCAGCTATTACTGATTATCGATATAATTATTTCAATACACTCGACTTTGCTTCAAGCACGCAGTGCCTGTGTCTGCGTACCTAAATATTAGTACGTACGTACACATAACAATAAAACACATTTGAATTTAGTGTCAGAATCTACATTGAATTTACATTTAGATAAATAAAAGAAAAGTTAATTTAGTTAGGTAGTTTTGCGAATTTTCAATCAGGTCGATAGTGGGAAAATCCTCATAATATTATTAGGGGTTGCGAGTGGATGTAGGACCGTTGCAGCAGTTACCATAAAAAGAATAAATAATATCGTTTCGTGTTTTTGGTATTAGGTATGTGATCAGCCTGAGTAAGATGAAACATTAAAGTTAATATTCCAAAAGAAAGAAATAATTTAAGAAATAAAGAGCGCTTACCTGAATTACTAAATCTGAAATAACGTTTGAAGTAAGTAAGGTATGTAGTATGTAGATAGACAAAAATAATTACATAAAACGGATACAATAAAACATAATGAAATGTTTTCAACCGTAAACAACCGCTGTTTATGGGCGATCAGCGAAAAAAGCGGTTGTTATCGCCGAAAACATATCAACAGCCTTTACATCTATAGTCCTTAATAATCTTTAAACAACTAAACTTTGACAGGTATCATAATTCTCAAATTTCAACTATGGCTTAGGTTCTCTCCAAAACTGTTACTGACAATATATACCTAATCCCTTTTTACCCGAAACTTTTGAATCATTGGCCACAATTTGTCACTCTTCTTTTGCTTACAACAATGGACGTCTAGTGGAAAGCTTTTCATTTTATGATTTCTATAAAATTATTAATGAGCTGAATTAATGACAGCTACTTATTGGTTTGGTCAATTAAATCATGGTCGAGGAAACCTATCGGTCACCCACCAACTCGGCCGAAAACAAAATGCAGTAAAATGTCACTATGGAAGAGAAACTATTCCTGAAGATTATTCACATTACACAAAGAAATTCAGGCTGAACTACAGCTTTTTTCACCATCCTGCACAAAAAACTTATAGTTTGCTTTCCGATATACATCTTATTCCCTCGATGAAGAGCAAAACTACTGTCGTGTTGATTGGTGCAAATTCAAGTTGGAAAAGATAAAACAAGGAATCTCACGAATCTTTGATTAGCTACAAGTAAGACGACACAGTATGTGTTTGAAGAAGATAAGTTGCCCACCAAAGTTGTTCGCAGTCCTTTTCATTAATTAATAAAATTGACTGCCATCGGCTATCTGGACGTAAATAGAGAGATCCCAACGAGAAGGGACTGGCACGGCACTTTTTCACCAAGATAACGTGCCGTCTCTCTCACACAGAGATCTGCTAGGATCATGGTCCTCATTACCTCACCCTCCGTACAGCCTAGATTTAACTAAATACATACCTTTTTTTTTTGATACAAATCAATTCAAAAAAGATTTTCATTGGATATTTTTTTGACAAACGTTTTTCAAAGTATTTCTCTCGGAGACATCAATTAAATGTTGTCTTATTCTATTGGCATTGCAATAAACATGAAATTCAAAAGTTAATTAACATCTCTGAGGACGTTCGCCCGTTAATGTAACAGCTTTTTGCGATTTGATTGACTCCAGCTGTAACTACTAAGTTTCTGGATCCGTCCACTTAAAATGAATGAATGAAAAACAATTATGGAATCAAAAATGGAACTCAGTAGAAACATGTTACTTTTGAATTTCCTTAATTTCGTTCTTTCGAAAATTGAATGTATGTGTGTTTTTATGATTTTCGCTGTATTGTTATGTAGCCGACAATAGTGTTGCCATAGACATCTACTGACATTTGTTGATGGAAATACCATGTCGAAGCTCTGTGTATGCGTGGTTTGGAGAATTTAGACCTGAACGTGGTACCTTCAAGTACCATGACGAGGTACGTGAAGGTCGGCCGATGAGTGCGGTTACTGAATCTAATATTGCAACCGTACGACAACTTATCGAAACTTACAAGAAATGCAAAACATTTTACATGTGCATCTAAAGTTTCTGAAGCTTTGCATTCGATAGACAGATACCAAATGACTTTACGGAGGACCAGAGACGACTGCGTGTCCAGTGGTGCCGTAAAAAGTGAAAAAAGTTTTACGGAGGACAGTCATTGGCTGTCTGGTGTCAAAATAAGGGTATACTGAATTGAACCTGAAAGAAAAAGCCAGTCGGCAGAGTGGGCTTTTGTTTTGAAGATTTCCGGACGTAAGTTAAGAATAGTTGAAGCATTGGTAATGAAATGGTTGCTTCTTTTTTCAGCAAATCAGGTCGTTATAGAACAGTACCTGCAGTTTTTTTTTTTTTTTTTTATAGTTAGGTCCGACAAATGACTCCACCCCACCTGATGTTAAGTGAAGGTGAAGTCCAGACGCGAAGATAGCTGATACAGCAGTTCTACCTGCCACACCAGCCATCCTCACCCTGCCGGCCTGCATGTTGCTTCTTCACGCCTCTTTTAAAGGATCCCAGGTTGTAAGAGGGAGGGAACACGTGAGCGGGCAGAGCATTCCATTTACGGATAGTGCGACAAAGAAATGAGTCACCAAATTTCTTTGTACGCGTTGGAATTGTGGCCACAGTAAAACGGTGACAACGTAGGCCAGCGCGCGTGGTCCTCTGAAGGAAAGGAGAGTTTTTTTTAGTTTGCGAAAAGCGTCTTCGAAGCAATCTCCTCCTTCTACAACAATGCATCCTCACAATCTACTAAAGTAAAGGAAGCTTATATGAAGGCTTCAAATGTGTAACGGATGACGCATCCGCCATAGCCCGGACCTCGCACCCTGTGACTTCTTTTTGTTTTTACATTTAAAGGCACACGTTTTACGAGTCCTGAATCGGCGGTGGCAAATTTAATTTACGACTCCGAGTGCTTTTGTGGATGTTCAGCGTAAAAGTCACAGATCGCCTGCTTCTACTAGATTGATGACAACTGGTTACGATAAACAAAACAATACAAACTTGCTAAGAGTAGGTAATAAATTGTGTTTTCAACCATGAAGCTATACATATACTGGGCTCTTATCATTATGTTATCATTGCGCTGCGCTGGCGACAGAACCTGTATGATCGCGATAAGATTTATAATAATATGACGACATGTTATTATCAATATAATGAATAGTCACCTCTTTCTTATAATTTTATTATTATAACAATCTGCCGCTTCTTACCGCCAGTAAGCAGTAAAAATTGTGAGAAGATTATTATCTTCTACTTTAATTAGGTACCTATCTAAAACCAAACAAATAGGTAAGTATTTGATGATACATATAATGTTGTGATAAAGATAAACACCCGATTACGGACGTTAACTTGATTTATGGTCATGTTGAACGTCAAGTGAAAGAAGCCCTAGTAATGCAGCCATAATAAGTGGGCATAAAAAATCTCATACAGTGTAAGTCACTTGCAGAAGGTACATAATATAGAGATATACTGGTGTCACTTGCAGACTTTGAAATTATAGTGACAAAATGATGTCCGTGTTTTCTTTTCATGAATTATGTTATACTAATAGGTTTTTGTCACATTTGACTATACTATTACATCTCGTCTCGTCCATCAATTTAAAAAGCATCATCGATTGAGGAAAATTGCGAGTTATGGATAGCTTGATGATGTCCTCTTGACTACTTACCTGATGAATTTGCAGTCAACTAAATTACCCATTTATATGAATGCAATGAAAATTAACTCTTATCACCAACAATTAAAGTGCATAATTATTTACATAGTTTGGAAAGACAGTTAAAAATTTAGTCATTAAAATATCATAATTTAATGAATGAACAGTGAACATTTACTGTTGAAGACGGCGTAATCTTTGTCAGGTAATTTTCACTTTGCTAAACTATGACCTAACATTTCATGGAATTATTTAACTAATAGGTACTTATGTGTTAAATGCAGGTACTTCCATGAATTATCTATTAAACCTGCTCTACCTACCTACTGCTAGTTTTTCTGGTAGTGATAATGAGAAGTCATATTTAGGGGTATATTAGGTTGAATATTAGGTTTTGATTCAAATAGTGGATTTAGAAAGTAATAATATTCAAAATATATAAAGTGATTTGACAGTACTGTACAGACTTAAGTGCTTTAAACTTACTTGAGATAATAAATTTGACCCTCTGGCGTACGAGCTTGTTCCCAGCCAGCCGGTAAAGGTCCCAGATCGTCATTTAGATGTGATCCTACATCGTAAGATCTATGTTTAGCGTGCTGATGGTGTATTGGCTGCTGTTGGCTCTGCTGTCCAGCGGCATACGTCTGCTGCAAGCTTGCTGGTGACGAGTGTGCCCGTGAGTGTGACACCGGAGTGGCGCCAGTAGCGGACACCGATCCAAAAGCCGAGTCAGCCGAGTTTTCTCGCGAGTGAGACACAGATGGCGACTTGGAACCGGTCGAGGGCGGGTTAAAGAACGACTTTGGAAGCTGTCGCATACGGAGAGGCACCTGTAGCGGCCGTTTCGAGTCCGGCTTAAGCACAGTGTCGAACAATGACTGTAGAACCGAGTCTGAATCCTGGTCCACGCGAAGGACCAGATTCGATTTCTGTTCACTGTCTGAATTGAGAGCCATGGTAGTGTCGGCACGAAGTAATCCCGAAACCGACCTGGCCCACCGCTGTGACACAACACTAGCACGCGACGGGTTGGCGCGGCGCCACCCGACGTTCTTCTGTATGGCGCTCGTCGCGCGACTGACGCATGCCCCGCCCGCGCCGCGCGCGCAAGGCTCCCTGCCCACGCGCACCCGCACCGCACCACCCGCGCGGCCGCGGACCGGTCTTCAAGATGCCCCTCACCCCGCTTTGCTTACCTATCTCCTTGCCTTGTTGTACCTAGGTAGGTAACCAGGCGGCCCAGGCTTGCGTGCGCCATAATACGCAGCTTTTTATTTATTTATTTGTAGTAAAGCGAGATCCGGGCCGCCAGACCAGACCCACCATCTCCACCTCAATGTTGGTTAAAATAATATTGCTAACGCACACAAAATGCAACTAACTAAAAGAGGAGGGAAAGATTGGGCGCGGAAAGACTCGCCATTGTTTGTTAGGGCGGAATGAAAGCCCTATAATATTGTAATTTTATCACATAAAAATCAGAGTGCATTTTTTATCATGGAATCTGACATTGGCTTTATTATTTTAGTACATTTTATATCAAGAGGTTAGTTCAATAATATGGTAATACCTATAATGTAATACAATTTACAAAGCAAATAAGAGTTCCCCGAATTTTCCTGGTTGCCATCATCATATCCTGACTTGATTACCTTGAAAACAAGTGGAAAGTAAATATTTCAAACTTTGTTGATAGAAGCTTTCAAACAAGAAAATAATTTTCTTAATCGATCCAGCAGTCGAACCTACTTACAAAATGAAGAATTGAGAACTTAACAAAATATAAAATAGGTAAATTGTTCTGTGGGTTTTTTCGACTTTCGGTAGGCATCGTTTTTGGTCTTATCGTACAAACATTTCAGCAGAATATATTTAGCAAATTTTTGATCATCTATCTCCTTCCTGAATCAATAAAGTACTTAATAAGGTTTTTTTCAGTTCTTTATTAATGCCAGCATTAATTTAATAAATAAACTTGGTTATAACAATTCATAAATTAACAAGAATATCAGGTTTCTGGAACTTCAAATAATGGCGATTCTATGCGAAGGTTTTTTACAGATCTTCAAATTTCTGAAATACATAAAAAGCTAAAAGAAAAAAATGCTCTAAATTAAAGCTATTGCTTCAGCTAAGAAGATATGAAGAAGCGGGACAAAGCGTTAGTAGAATTCACGATCTATGAAATCATTCTACCATATATATATCATATCAATATACACACATCAAAAGTGTCTAGGGATCAACATATATTTTTGCAATAACTTTTCTCCTGATTGATATTAATTAAAATTTTCTTTAAGGATTCATCAAATAAAGTGTTTTCGTTTGTCACAGTAACGATAAACCAAGTCACCTTTGCATTAATAAAGAAATTTGCCATTTTCCTAATAAAGGGATTTTTGACATTTGAACCACTAACACAAAAGTTCGAAAAAAAGACTGAAATAACAGTTTTCTCTAAAATTTTATTGGGTAACTTAAACAATTAATAATCCGTATTTCTACCGCGAACACTAACAACACAAGAACATCGGTTTGGCATACTCAAAATGAGTTCATCCAAATCACGCTGTGGAATGGCCGCCTATGTTCGTTGCAACAACAAAAAAGTCTTCTTGCGACTGGATACCCTCCATATTCGGCAGAGCTCTTCTCTGTAGCATATCCCATGCATGCTCAATCGGGTTCAAGTCTGGCGACTGAGCAGGCCAGGGCAGGACATTGATGTTAGCTGCGGCGAGAGTCTGTCTTACAACTCTTGCGGTGTGCGGTCGTGCATTATCATGCATTAACTGAAATAAGGGACCGATTTGCACTTGTAGAGGAACGATGACGTCTGATACAATCGTCTCAGCATAAATTTGAGCGTTGAGGTTGCCTCTGATCCAAATCAACTCAGTTCTTCCGCCGATCCAAATACCCGCCCATACCATGATGGTTCCACCACTATAAGGATGGACTTCCTGGCAGGATTTTAATCGCTGTTGGCGTCCAGGGGTTCTCCAGTGTCGTATACGTCTTGTATCCGGTCTCATACCAAAACGAGACTCATCAGAAAAGCACACGAAACGCCATTGTTCTTCTGCCCAATTTCTGTGTTCAAGAGCCCATTGATATCGAATCCTACGATTGTGCATTGCTATAGGTGGTACCCGTAGCGGTCTTCGGGAATGAAGGTTCACTTCATGCAAGCGGTTTCTGACTGTTTGGTCGCTAATTAAGTTCCCTGAAGAGTGATGAAGCCTCACGGCAAACATCATGGCGGTTATTGTTGGAGCTCTTCGAGTTAAGATTTGAATTTATCGGTCTTGTCTCCGTGTGGTGCAGCGATACCGTCCTCCATGGCGCTCAGCCACGGTACCAGTGCTTCGGTATCGTGTCCAAAGTCGACTGATAACACTCTGACTTGTATTCAGAGCTAAAGCCACAGTACGTTGCCGGGAACCAGCTTCTATCATTCCCACGGCTCTGAGCATTTCTTCCCTGCTTAAATGACGTCGCCGCTCCATAATAACGTTGGTTTTAATCAGTAGTAGGGAAACAGTAGCACTAATAATGTCTTCAATGCGTTGTATGTTTTTATAGGGAAAATATTGACAGCTGATTTTCATCTTTTACTCGAATTTGATTCACAGTTCCTGATTCAAATTATGAAATGCACCAAAAAGGATCCATATAAATTTATAAAATCATAAATTTATTACAAAGCCACATCTCAATCTCAAGAAATCCGCATAAAAATGCTTGATCCCTAGACACTTTTGATGTGTGTATAATAAAAAATGCCGCCATGTTTTTTAACTCTCAGAAAAACCCAGAAGCAGTGGCACATTGGGACAGAGTTTCTTTTGGAAGTATATATTAGTTCTGTAAGTACTAAAGTTGTACAATAAAAATCTATATAGTCCGAGAAAAAGCTGGGAAAAAGCATACCAAAAATCCAAAAAAACACTAAAGGCCTCAACAACTAGGTGTAATCAATGGTAACTTTTACAGTGAATATAGGGCTTTAAGTACTTACAGTTTGCGCTTCTAACTTACCAGCGGTGCCACCATCCTTCCTTTGAAATCTTAGAGCATTTATACCAAATATAAATTCATAGCGTTTTATAATTTGGCACGGTAACGTGCAGTGAATGAAGAAAATTTATAAAAAAAAGTTAAAATGAAAAGAAAAGAAAAAAAGTTAAACATATTTGCTTACTGTTTCGATTGGAAAAAACATAAGAATTAAAAAATAAAAGTGACCGTTTGAGTTGAAGTAAAAAAAAATACAAAAAAGGTAAATTTAAAAAATCAATAAACCCGACTGCTTAATAATACTTCAAATAAAAACTGAAAGGAAAAAAACAAGTCCAGTAGTCTATAATTCTGCTAATAAGGAACAAAGCTACTTTAACAGTCGGGACCCATTAGATATTCAAGAATACAATATATTTTCAATAAAAGGTCCCGACTGTTAAAGTAGCTTTGTTCCTTATTAACAGAATTATAGACTACAAGACTTGTTTTTTTCTTTTCAGTTTTTATTTGAAGTATAATTAAGCAGTTGGGATTATTGATTTTTTAAATTTACCTTTTTTATTTCTCACTTTTTAGTTAGTTAGTATTTTAAGACGGTATAGACGGAATTAATAACGCGGGAATTATTAAGTACCTTGCGGTGGTCTAAAAGATTGATTTATTAAGACATATAGAGACTTTACCAGCGGAGTCAAGGCTACAGATGGGCCTCAATTTTCGACCTTTTTTGTAACATTAAGTAATATCGTTAAAAAAATTAAAAAACAGTATAATTCTGAGTTTTTCATTAAAATTTAATAATCATAAATACCTGTTATGATAATTTATCTTTCATCATTTAATAAGAAGGAACTGTATCACAGTTTTATTGTAAGTACTTCATATAGGATCAGATACTGCGAGTAGCCCATTTTTTCGTTTTCGCCTAGGTTTTATCCACGTTTATAAACACCTAAATTAAATTTCTTCTCTTAGTAGTACACCGCGCTATCACTTTGTCATCGTTGTAACTATATAAATATTTATAATTTTTATTATTTTTAAAGCATGTAACTGCTTGATGTTTAAATCTAAAGAAAATACAACTAGAAAAAACTCCACGCGGACCAGGCAGCAGACGGGACTCGAACCCGCACCCTTCGCAATCCGGGCGAATGCACTGACCAATTATGCTACCGCGGCCCTCACGGACCGCGTCGAAATTCTTTCTAGCTATTCTTAAGCTGCAAGGCAGCGCCATCCCTTCGCATTATAGGTAAACCCACAATGTCAAATGAATACTTTTACAAGTATTAAACATTTGAAAGAAGAAATAGCAATTATAGTTATAATTTTTATTATTTTTAAAGCATGTAACTGCTTGATGTTTAAATCTAAAGAAAATACAACTAGAAAAAACTCCACGCGGACCAGGCAGCAGACGGGACTCGAACCCGCACCCTTCGCAATCCGGGCGAATGCACTGACCAATTATGCTACCGCGGCCCTCACGGACCGCGTCGAAATTCTTTCTAGCTATTCTTAAGCTGCAAGGCAGCGCCATCCCTTCGCATTATAGGTAAACCCACAATGTCAAATGAATACTTTTACAAGTATTAAACATTTGAAAGAAGAAATAGCAATTATAGTTATAATTTTTATTATTTTTAAAGCATGTAACTGCTTGATGTTTAAATCTAAAGAAAATACAACTAGAAAAAACTCCACGCGGACCAGGCAGCAGACGGGACTCGAACCCGCACCCTTCGCAATCCGGGCGAATGCACTGACCAATTATGCTACCGCGGCCCTCACGGACCGCGTCGAAATTCTTTCTAGCTATTCTTAAGCTGCAAGGCTAATATAAATATTTGTCGAAATGACATAGTGTAAGAGGCAAAGTTTATCGTCTTTAAATATCAAAAGCGATAGAAGTATTTTTGACGTGACAACGTCTTAAATTAGGTTGCGGCTGGGAGTCACTTATGAAAAAGTGTAACGCTCGGTAACGTTACGATGAGTCTCTCGTGTTAAGTTTAAGTTTACATGTACAATGTTTTAGTAAACAAAATATATTTCTATAGTTAAAATTTGTGCAATTCTTATTTTCATTCAATTTCTTGTTCCTATTGTGCAATTTAATTATATTCATATCAATAAATATTCTACCGAGAAAAAGACGTTGTCACGTAAAATCTTCGCCCGTAAAACCGACTTTACAGGCAACCATTTTTTTTTGATAAAAAATAATTTGTTAATACAAAATGTGCATTGTGGAAATAGATATCAAATAATATTTTACTTTTGATTCGCTATATTAGCGGTAATGGCTTACACATTAAAAATAGACATATGGTGTCACGGACTTTTTTTAGAACTATTTAAGAGATATATTTTCACTCTACATTACATTCATGTAACTTTTATTGTTTTTGCAGTGCAGGCCAAAATGGCTCTTAGATGGGAGATTTTTTTCCGTCTTATGTGACACTTATTGTTATAATTTGGCCAATTCACTCATTAACTACAGAAATTATTATATATATGTTATCATTATATATGAGCTATATCACTGTGAAGTTTCATTAAAATCCATTCAGTATTTTTTAGGTGAAAGAGTAACAAAGATCCATACAAACGTAAAATTGAAATTAAAAGCGCAATTGGTTAATATACAACTTTAAAGCGTTATAGATCCTAAACAATCATATAAAATGAAAAATGGTGTTAGGAACCTAAACATGATTTTCGATTATCTAGACAGTGATACCCCATTCGACATATTTTGTCAACTTATTTTTTTTACTTCGTCACAATATGGCGCCTAATTTTGCCCATATTGAATTTTGATTACTATCATATCTTTAGTAGCACTCCCATGATTGAGACGAATCGATTGATGTATGAATCATCGAAATTAGTCCAGGCGTTTGGTCTTTAGTGTGCCACAAAGAAACAAACATACATGTGGGTCAGGCCGCCATTTTTACCCGGCTGCGCAATGCAAGAGCGCGAAGCGCGACGCGCAGACAGGGTTATGTGTTTAACAGTCTATATATGTATGTTTGTTCCTTTGTGGCACTCTAGTTTGCTGATATGGCGCAGAAGTATTGTGTTGATGGCGTAGAAACTTCTACGCATCGGTGACGTTGAGTAGCGTATAATAGTGACGAATAAATGTTAAGGTTGGCATACACATGCCAAAATATTAAGGTTAAATTATGTTGTATAACGTAATTGCACCAATTATGGACACTTTAAGGATGAAAAGGTGGGTTTTTGCAGGATTATTCCTAATATATCAGGATTTTGTTTAAACATCAATGTTGAGCTTAATGTCCGTCTTTTTTCCTTTATGCTTATGCCGAAAAAGTTAGAAATAACCGCATAAAAATGAGAGATATCATTAAAATATAAACACGGTTTTTTAAGCTAGTAATGGACAAGGAAAATCATTTAATGGACATCCAGTGATGAACATGCACCAAATATGGACATCAAATAATGAACACAATTTAATAATGGGCCCCCACTAATGGACCAGCTCGTTGAATTTAGAATAAGAAGTAGTTCCCTATATCTAAGTAAATAAAAACATCAACAATTTTATAATCAACTAGACATTTATTATATTTTTTAAAGCATTTATTTGCTAGATTTTAAATCTAAAGAAAATTTTTTCTAAAAAAAAATTCCACGCAGTCCAGGCATCAAACGGGACTCGAAACCGCACCCTCCGCTATCCGGGCAGATGCACTGACCATTATGTTACCGTGATCTATGCCTTGCAGCCTACGAAATACAAGCTGAAATTACACGAATGGGTTTAGTTAGTATACATACATAGACTCTCGAAAAACATTACCCTCCTTTCTTCGGCAGTCAGGTAAAAAGTTAGTATAATAAAAACAAGTGGATACCTACCTTTATTTGGTGGCGTAGAGGAGGTGACGAATATCTACGCTACCCAGTGTTTCCACAATGAGGGGAAATTCCCCCTTTAAGGGGAAATTAGGGTCCCGAGGGGAAGAAAAGGGGGAAAGACATGAAAAGGGGAAATTGCGGGAAATTATGGGTAAAGCCTAGCCTAAAATAATGCGCACGGAAATATTTTTTATGGACTATACCGTGGACTAGAGTGTTGCCGTATAAAAGAAACTGTGGCAACACCTGCACATTTTATATTTATCTGTTATAGAATAAGATAGATTAAGCTCTTTTTTTTTTATTATATAATAGTGCCAAATCTAAAAACTACAGCAGAATATTTTTTGAGGGGAAAAATGTCGTAAGAAGGGGAAATCTGAATTGAGGCGTGGGGAAAGGAAATCATTAAAGTGGAAACACTGACGCTACCGTTGGCGTTGAAGTACCAAAATGGTGGCGTATTTATACTTCTACGCTATCGTCGCGTTGAGAAAACCACTTATATCTCTGTAAATATATAGTATGATTTGAGTTGCATTATAGCTCCAAACATGGCTGTCACTTCTACTAACATGATGCACTATTTGTTTTTCGTGTAACAATCAAACTTAATTTTTAATGCACAAAAATCTTACCTTGAAAAAATTGTGTACACAAACTACACCAGACGTTCACACGTCAACTGTCAAAAATATAGCCGCTCGTCAAGCCGCTGTCCACAGATTACAGAAACTCAGTGTTGCCACTTCCCGATTTGAACTTCACCGATTCCTAAAGTTTAATAGAACATGGAGAATCGGTGGCGTTGACAAAAGTGGCGTATAAGTACAGTTTTTGACGAAAACTTATTTGAAATCATTTTCAAGGAAATTCTTAGGATAAACGTCGCTAAATTAAAAGCACGGATAGCTATTAATATAAGTATTCTTAAAGTATCAGCCATGTCTCAAAAACTGACATACTTTTTGCTACTACGATAGTTAAAGTGCACCTCTACCTCGGCGGATAGAAGTTTTTGTGTAATTTTACTACCTTTTTTCAGATTTCATTCGAAATATATTTTTTGTTTATTATCTGACTTGAAATAATCATAATGTCCACTTGAGTCACTTTGTTGCTTAATCCAAAGCCGTCATCGAAAATCCGATATCTATAATACTTTTCAAAATACTGACCGCGGAGAAAACAGTTTTCAAAATCAGCAAAAAATGGCGGCCTGACCCATATATAGACTGTTAAACACTATACCCTGTCGCTTCGCGCTGTTGCATTGCGCAGTCGTGTAAAAAGTTAAAATGTAACATATTTACTTACTGTTTCGATTGGAAAAACATAAGAATTATAAAATAAAAGTGACCGTTTGATGTTTCGCGCGGTCAAGCCCACCGGGTGAGACCCTTGGGGGAGGCCCAGTGAACGACGATCGAGCGGGTGGTGGACTTATCGTGAGGTGGGTGGGTTAGGCCAATCTGGTTTGGGTTGTCGCACTCGTGGAGGTGTATGCCGTCTTCGGGGGTAAGATTGGCCGCGTGGTGGTGGTGGTTACCACAGTTGTTTGGAACTGGTCCCAGTCAATGCGCTTCCGTGCTCGATGCAACGTATATAATGCAGTTAAAAATCATATTAAATGGCTGTCTAGTCTACCTTATATCTCTATATACATAGCAGGTAAACCAAAACCCTTTTTGAAGGACCCATACAATACATGCTGACAAAATCCCTTGCAGTGAAGACGGCCGAGTGGTCTAAGGCACCAGACTCAAAGAAACTTGCTGCAGAAGCAGAGAGCTGGTTCTGGTCCTCTCTGAGAGAATGGGGTCGCATCCTACTTTTGACAACAAATGCCATTGATTACAACTGATACTAAAATGAAACGACTTATTCTAGAAAGACCGTAAGTCAAAAAAATAAGGTTTCCGGTTCCACCATTCCCAAACAAATGGGAGAATATGTCCCAATTCAAATTGGGTCTTAATCATTATGTGGCTACCAACCATTTTCTTCTAAAGGCAAATGAAGCTGGTGGTAGGCTGGCAAAAATGGATAGTTTAGCAGTCCTATTTTCATTTCCTTATTGCAAAACTACACAGTTTCTGTGAGTCCTTAATCAAATATTTTTTTGTAGTTAATTGCCCTTACAAATGTTTTTTCTGAAGTGCTTCAGGTATGAGATTTCATAACTCTATTTCCTTTGATCTTATTATCCACCAGGATCATTCCAGCCAGGTTGCGGGAAACATTTGCACTATAAGAAAGTCTAGGCTGGCTATTACTCAAAATCAGTTTAACCCAATTTCTGGATTTCAATTTGTAGAGTTGACTTTGAACACTGATAAGAGCTTTACAAAAAAATATTAAAATAGGCAAAATTAATAAAAGCCGGGTACTCATTAGCGAGCTGTAACCGTAACCGTTGCATGCACTGTAACCAAAAAGCATAGTGTGTACGTGGTTCGCTAACCTGCTGTGAGCGGTACGCGTGTGGTTTGCAGCGAGCCGACGACGTTTACAACTGAGCTACAAGCGTACACACTAGAACCTCGTACTGTATCACGCATGTTACGGTTACAGCTCGCTAATGAGTACCCGGCTAAAGACAACTCACAAAAATCATAATGTCAAACAGGCTCAGAGCTTGATAAACCAGTAAAATGTTACAAACCATACTGATCCCAAGAGGACAGTCATGGTGCCGAGACCACCAAACGTTTATCTAGAACTACAAAAAGACCAATGCGTGGCAGAGAAAATGATTAACACCCTCTGTAGTACAAGGTTTGTTCTGGTGGTCAAAGGCAGTTAGATACAATGTTATCCTAGTTGTTGGTGAGAAGAAGTCACTCACCTCTGTACCTCAGATGCAGCGGATGCAGGTTGGGGAGCTCACTTAAACCAAATTTTCCTATCATTAGGACGGACGGACACATGTATGAATGGAGGTGGCACACCAAATTAAATCAAATGTATATTGCTTTTGTTGCCAAAAATAGTTGGGGAGGGGGGGGGGGGGCACATAAACTAATTCAGTCCCACAACTGAACACTAAATTCTCTCCATACTACTGTTAAATTTAGCAACCAGAATTTTAGAGTCAACCGAGCAGCTTAATCTATTACTGTCGGCTAGTTTTCTCTCCGGGAGATTAAATAAAATTTTGGACCACCTGGTGTAGGGGCCGAGCATAACCCTAAGGAGATTGCTCAAATTGGCCCAAATGCACAAAAAATATTGACATACACGGTAATTCTTGGAGCACCTAATTTATAATTTCATTTACAGTCATTAGATTTCAACGGACACCTTTGTATAATATATTTACTTTAAAAAGGACTTTTAATTTTACCGGTTTGTAAAACATACCAATCATTTTTAATGGCTTTGGGTGGTACATTCAGCCAAAGACTGATCGAAGTTGTTTATATAACTTAAAAACAAATCTATTTTGTAAAGATCGATAAAATAAATCATTTTTTTATTACACTGTGGTATTAATATCCACAACTGTATTATCATTTTCACTAGATGCAAATGTGCTCAGACAATTATTATAGACTAGCGGTCCGCCCTCGCTTCGCTTCGGTGTAGAGCTGAAGTGTAGACTACAATTTTTGTTCTCAGGCTTGTATTATACACAATGACATTCATCTATGATTCTTCTTATACCTACATGCAGTCTCAGCCCGATCGGTTTAAAATTGACAAAGTTTCATACAAACTTTCATTCCCTATTTTATCCCCTTGGGGGTAGAATTGATCAAAATCCTTTCTTAGCGGATGCCTACGTCATAACATCTACCTGCATCTCAAATTTCATCCCGATCCGTCCAGTGGTTTGGGCTGTGCGTTGATAGATCACTATGTCAGTTGACTGACTGACCTTTGACTTTTATATACATATACTTGCGGACCCGACAGACGTTGTCCTGTCTACACGTCTTTAATTTGAAAATTTCAAACTTTTTTTAATAAGCTAAAACATTCTGGACCATTTTGATGAAAATTACCATTCTTAGATCCCCTTGAACACACACAAAAATTTCATCAAAATCGGTCCAGTCGTTTAAGAGAAGTTCAGTAACATACACACTCACAGAAGAATTATATATATAAAGATTTGACACTGCGATGGTAGCGCCGTCTGTCGGATCCAATGTAAAACATTCCAAAATCAACAACTACTAATTATAATTTTTATTATTTTTAAAGCATGTAACTGCTTGATGTTTAAATCTAAAGAAAATATAACTAGAAAAACTTTTTTTCTAGTTATATTTTCTTTAGAACTACTAATTAATTAAAAATTAATTAAAAAAACATTGTCCAGCGGACAAAATTGTGAATCTAAACCATTCTCAGATCCCCTTGAACACACACAAAAAATTTCATCAAAATCGGTCCAGTCGTTTAAGAGAAGTTCAGTGACATACACACTCACAGAAGAATTATATATATAAAGATAGATAAAAACGGTCATTTTTATTACCTGTATTTATAATCAAACTAAAATTCTCATATTTCCGTTTTCCAGTACTCATTTTCTACACGTTTTACATGATTTATTTGCTAATTTTTATTTACAAATGTTTGGTTTTTATTCTAAGATAAGCACGGTTTCTTAATATCAATTATTGTCTGTCAATAAGGTCGAACGCTCTGAAGTATCAACAGCCAAATATTGAATGAAGCTCGCTTTCTTTTTTTTTGTTTCCTCCCAGGCGGGCGAGCGGGTGTGAAATCCTCATGGATACCCTACAGCCGGCTGTAGGGTTATGTCAGATTCTTACTGACTAAAACACACCCGTGGGAGATGCCTATGGCCTTAGGGGCCATACAGGCTTCATCTAATGCGATCAACCCCTGAGAAGGGCATGATGCAGCGCTGCCTTAGTAAATACTACTGCATAGTGCGCTTAGAGGACGGATGCACTCTGATGTGCATCCGTATCGGTTTAGGACAGAGCGACTGAAGGTCTCTCAGGATCGGGGGGGGGGGGGGGGGGGAGCTCGCTTTTTGAAAATATATTTCATGTACAGAATTGACCTCTCTACAGATTTATTATAAGTATAGATGGTAGGCGACATCATAAAGTTTATTGCCATACATTTTTCGCCAAACACATTATAATCTGTATATATGTTAGACTTTAAGGTATCTATCTATGGGCCTACGTTCCCTGGCTATAAATTAATAAATAAATAAAATTATAAGTTGTGATACACTAAAAAACCAAAATATGGTTATCTTAAAAACTTAACAAAAATAATGAAGCTACCTACTGAATATATGGCTATAAAACCTAAATCTCTTAGCTTTCTTTGTTTAACGAGAGTTTAAAAATTCTCTCTTATCTGTGGCTCATTCACAATCATCACACAGTTTCTGTCACAGAGTACCTTATTATAACCGGAAATGACACCTGATTTTAAAAGTTACTCTTATGCATTAACTCTACATGCTCTATATACCTGAATCTAATCCATAATTTCGGTACTTGGCTTGATTTCCCTAGTTTACTATATTATAACTTATTTGTTTTTTATTATTTTAAGATGTTCAGTGTATATGGTTTATAGAAGTTCTCAGGGGTGTCCGTCAATAATATTCGTTGCTACAGTAATTTATATATAATTTCGAATCTAGGAAACAATTTTTCATGATAATTGTCTTTAGGCCAAACATGTATGGAAGATGAGCAAACTCCTTTAACATCTTTACCCCCGGCCGCAGAGGCCATATTCAAAGAAAGCGGGGAACCCACTAATTGTCTAACTCTGTCTCTTTCGCTATCTGGAAAGCTACAGAAAAATAGTCATTATGCCAACCGTTCTCTTGTATGACTGTGAAAATAAAAAATAGCTAAATTGAAAAAAATTACATAATTCAGCCCGCAGTGTTAAACTATTCACATCTAGAGCACCACAGTAGTACCCAAAGGTTCTTGCGATGGGTCAGCAATTTTTAACAATGCATTCCTGATATTATTATTTTAAATCCTACTATAAAGGTAAATGTAATGTCTGAAAAAAAACATAGTTCTTGTATATAATATCACAGTGTTAGAACACTTTAAGGGGTCCATTCCGATAGCACCACTGTGGACCCAATGCTTTTCTTTTGGCTGCCAGACATTTGGAGCCGAACCTTGCCACAACTAAGACAGGACCTCCGGAAGGTTCTTTTATATTAGACTACCTGCACAGGTAAAAAACATGTGCCTCCCAAGCTTGGCCACTTGGGAGCTGACCAAGTATCAATTTAAAGCAAAGGTTAGTAAAATTTATAAAACAGCAAATGATGCTCTTTCATCTTGTCCACCTATAAGTTGCATCAATAAATGGATATCAGGGCGTTACCCTATGATCATACTAATGCTGTTTTGTGTATATATTTCTCATCAGAATGTTCATTTTTGGCAATACAGTGTCCTTAGGGGCCGTCCATTATTCACGTGAGGTTTTTTTTGGTGTTTTTTAACCTCCCCTCCCCCTTGGTGATACATGGTGAGGTTTAAGACTATACCCCCCCCCCCTCCCCGCACACACACACATCACGTGTTTATTTTATATATTTTGTTTAAAATAATTTTATTTTAAGTTTGTTATTGACTGACATCTTATACATGAACATTATTTAATGCACAGTATCCTTGGACCACGGAAATACACGTGGTATATTACTACACCCCCGCACCCCCTCCTCCCCTGTGATATTTCGTGATTTTTTGTGATCCCTTCCTCCCTATTTCGATCCTCACGTGATTAATGGACAGCCCCTTACTTGTGATATTTTTTTTAAAAATACTATAGCAAACACTTTTATTAACCAAATATCAGAAAGCTTAATTGCAGGCGTGACTTACTTTTACTAAAAAACTTTACTAAAAAATAAACAATAAAATAAAAAGAGGTCTCTGATATAGGATACAGTATAATTACCTAAGTTGCACATCTATATATATAAAACTCAAAGGTGACTGACTGACATAGTGATCTATCGACGGATCAGGCTGAAATTTGGCATGCAGGTAGATGTTATGACGTAGGCTAAGAAAGGATTTTGACCAATTCTACCCCGAAGCAAAGCGAGGGCGGGCCACTAGTATACATATATACGTGGGACAGTCAGAAAGATTTGAGAAACTAAAAAAGTAACTTCTATAAAAAAAAATATTAAATCTTTTCAAAGAACTCTCCCCCAGCCTCTATACAAAGTTTCATGCGTCTGAACCAATTTTGAAAACATTTTTTCCAGTCCTCCGCAGACACCTCTTCCGCGGCCACCTCAAACGCTGCTAGCGCTTCGCCCGGCGATGAAAACTGTAAGGATTTTCAATAGGCAAGAAATTTTCTGTAGTAAAGTTGAACGACTATTACTCTTAAACTAACAAAGATGTCATGAATTTTTCCAGGTTTATCAAGCCAACAGTTTTTCGCTTCTAGATGATGGGGGACGCCCTAGAACAAAAATTAGCACCATAAAGTTCAATATTTCGCAAATCGAAAAATGGTATTAGAAACTCTTAAGTAATTTTAAGGGACCTATTCAACGATATCCCACACGATGGGGAAGATGATGAAAAAAGAACATCCCCAGGTTACATGTAGGGGCTGTAGGTTTACTAAAAAATATTTTTCAAATATTGATATTACCATTTTGTCGGCGTAATCGATATACATATCTCCTCAAAATTACAGCTCTCTAGTGCTAATAGTTACGAAGTAAACAGACGTGGACGGACAGACGGACATGACGAAACTTTAAGGTTTCCTTGTCAGGGCTACAGAACCCTAAAAGTAGGACTACATACAAAATTTATTTACACAAAAATACACTGCATACTTACATACATAGACAAAAATGAAACTTATACAATACCCAAATAAAAATAAGTTTTTTAAATTTCTTCATTAACATAATTATCGTCGT